AAATAATATATTATATTTTTACATTTTATATTATATTTTATTTAAATTTGACATAAAAATTTATATAAAATTAATTATAAATATTACAATAAATAAAAATTAATCTATACTCCAAAAAGTAAAAGTATAGATTAGAAACTCCCTTTTCTCTTGAGTTGATAGAAAAGGGACCCATTCATGAAATCAAGGCCGATTCGTGTGATTCATCTAACCCTGTAATGAAATTTCTATATCAGTATAAGTTAGGTATTCTATCAATAAATAATTTATTAATTATGTGATTTATTTTAATTTAATTTAAAAATAATACTTTTAAAATGATCTATCAACTATTAATTTTGTTTCAAACATACAAAATTAGAACTTTAGAAGAATTCAAACGGACTTAAAGGAGAAAAAAAAGACACGTATGCCGAAGAAATTCAAAGCTTAATCTCAAGAAAGTTCAAAAGTTGTGACATATAGTCCCAAATCTACATTGGAAAGAAATTGTAATTGTAACTGCAGGTATAAAAATGTCACAATCAATCATTAAAATTTATGTATATCTTACAACTAAGGAGTTGTTACGTTAGCAAGAATTAACTTCACTTTAATGGTGTAAAAAAAATTAAAAATATATTTAGTTTAATTGTTTGAAACAACTGATAATTGTAAACATTAGTTAATAGCGTATATAACAATTAATATTATTATTTAATAGATTAAAATTAATATATAAACTGATATTTAAAATACTTCAATAGTTATGGACTGATAAAATCAAACAAACTAAATAGATTTACAGTATTTCGTATGGACATAAGATACCCTAGAACATTTATAGGGAAGAATGTCAAATTCACAATTTCTTAAAAAAAAAAAAAAAAAACCCTAATCCTCAGGGGCACTGGCATATATGAATGATCTTCATCATTAACCAGAATGTTTATACCTTGGATCTCTCAAGGCACTAGTGTACTTACATAACCAAAAACCAGTAAATAAGGAACATGTTTTAATTCTTGCATAAGCTGTCTCTGGGGAAGACAGCTTGCAACGGCCAATAAGAAACAGACGTGAACTTTGTTGCTGCTTTGCATCACAATATACCGATCGAGTTGGCGGGCTTGGAGCACTTCATGGCTTCCTCACATGGGATATTTATTTCTCCTGATTTCATCAATCCTCTCCCCTAATATTTTACAATTGAAAAATGATCGATACACATTTGTTTTAACACATTTTTTGATACACATTTGTTTTAACACATTTTTTTGACACGCTTTTGATTTAATCATTAAAAATATAATATAAATGTAGTAAATTCAATCAATTCTCGTATTTTGTGTACATAATTATATCATTAAACTTCTCTGTCTTTCATTTCAAATTAAAAAATAATAAATTTTTAATAAGTGTGTCACACAGTATGTTGAATGAAAATATATACCAATTATTGTTCTTTACAATTATAAATAGTTCTTTATTTGTGTATGCATCAATATATGTATCAATGTTGTCTTGATGCAAAACATGTCCATATATTTATACACACACTCGCAACATATTTTAATTCAATTTGCGTAATAAAAAGTTTAGCATTGTTACTGCAATTATTATAATACTATTAATAAATTAACATTGAGAAACTTATTAAAAATATTTTAATATATAATATTATAATTTGAACTACACTTTTTTATATAATATGAACAAAAGAAATACATTTTCGTTTGTCAGAATCAATCCAGAGTTGGTTTAGTGAGAAAATATGATACAAATCACGTGAAAAATGTTTTTTTTTTTAAATAAAAAAATTAATAGGTTTTGCCTGCTGTCTTTGAAATTTGCCTAGTAAAACTTTGAATTGATTTACCTAAATTTTTCTTTTTATTATAAATAGGTCCACTAATCAA